GAACGGGAACTAGGACAATCACAGCAGCAGCAAATAGGACAAGAGCTAGTTTGTCTTTGCCCTCATTAATATGCACGATTTGCCCGCCAAAAGTCAGTGAACCGGAACTAGGACAATCACAGCAGCAGGAAATAGGACTTGTATAATTACATTACTCCTCCGTGATTTTAAGTCACAGACAAGTTTGACTTTGCTCCTCAGACAGTATGAATTAACCAATAAAAACGTTTCTTATTTTCTAACAAACCAATCGAAAACGAAGACGTTTATCGACCTTAAAGTAACTAGAAATCCTAAACCAACTAAAAATAGCACATGACCTTATCTTAATGAGATTCCTGTTTCCTGACTCGACGCGCACGACTTACACGCGAGATCTCCACGCGCGCCCAGGGAAAAAACACAGGCTAAAAAGGTGCCCTTTCTGCCCTTTCTGCCCGATCTGCCCTTGATCGCTTGGCAGTGAGCAGGCTTTTATGCCGTTCAAACAATAAAAATACGGCAACCAACCAGAATGCTTCGTCAAACGAGACAGCCAATGAGCGTCTTTCTAATTCCGGTCAACCAATCAAAACAACTAGGACATCATAGTACCCCGGAATACATAAACATCATCTTCCAAAAATAACTAAAACCTGTCAAACCGGTTATACCAACCATGACCGCCACAAGATAAAAATAGCACATGACATCATTGATAAACCCGTCAAACTGGATATTCTTAATGAGATTCCACCGCAAGTTAATGAGATTCCTGCGCATTTTATTCATGAGATCAAGACAATAGCCTATGACGTCACTGGCGTTAATTTATTCCTGCCCACCTTAATGAAATTCCTGCCCAAATCAGCATTTTATTCATGAGATCAATACAATAGCCTATGACGTCAGCGACGTTAATGTATTCCTCCGCACTCTAATGAGAATCCTCCGCAAAAAAGAGGTCTAACCGGTCCCTCCTATACTACTCACTTCCAGTATGGCTTCCGATACGCTGTCCACTTAAAAAAATTGTGTATGCCTCATGAAAAGTCTTAAAAAAATATGCCTGAGAACCTCAAAACGATGACTGATTCTGTCCGACTCCTTCCGTTGTTTTGAAAATTTTTGATCACTGGGGCGATGTTTTGATTTGTTTGTTGATAAACACAAGCGCGCCCTCTCATTGGTTGAAAAGTGTCGCGTGACCAGTTGGCCCTGACCTTAAATTTAGGATATTCCGGACTGTTAAGTCGTACGCTAGATCCGTACGCTAATGAGGAAAAATGTAAACAATGACGTCAGCGAAGATTTGCCTATATTGACGAGAGCTTCGCTTTTAGCCCTGGCTAACGGGTGTCTGTAAAACCAGGATCAGGTCCGGAACGGGCCCGGAACACGCTCAAGACATCCTTAATTACAAAAATTAGGCGAAAAAATTTACAAAAGTAAAAAAACCACTAAAACTTATCGTGAATGAATCAATAAATATAGCTGAAAGAGTCCTTATTGAATGAAGTCAAGAAAAAAAAACAAGGGGATGGCCCATGAGGGATTTACAATATTCTCACTAAATATCTTCTACCCAATTTGATGTCTACCGTGCTTGAGGAGTATCACTTATAAAATTCAGTTATTTTGATTGTTATCGTGTTTTCCTTGATTATGATATTTTGTCTTCGATTAAAAAGAAAAATATTTTTTTTGTTTTGGTGTTTCACTTTGATTTTCCAGCTAATCTTTGATTTCCAAACTTTAACGCGCTTGATTTCTCACATGGCTCGGTTTTTGATTTTCAAAATGAGATAGATATGGATCTTACCCACGTGACAGCTTCAGTAGTGGTTGATCAGCAATACTCAAGGCCAGGAAACTCAGACATATATCATGGCCGAACGAGACAGAGAGGATGTTCTTTCAGAGGAAACTGCCTCAAAAACCATCAGAACAGTCGCATAGACTGTTACGTTGAAACAAAAGAATTTATTCCAACGGAGAAACTACAGGACATCGTGCTCCAGTCCAAAGAGCCACTAATCTCAAGAAAAACATAACAGACCGTACCCGAGGGGTGCACTCAAGGAAAGTTTGGCTAAAGTTTTGCCGCCGAGGCCTTCAAACCCAGACCCTGCCAAAGACAAGAGAACTTATTTTAGGACTCTGATTTGTTTCGTTTCGCTGACAAAACTAAGTAATTTTTCAAACTAACATCGAGGAATTGAACTTTTTGATAAAAAAAAATTGTTGGTACCACAAATGTAGACTACTTATATCCAACCTTCACACTCTTGTAAAGGATTTTGGTCGAAAAACCCTGAAAACCATGCCAAGCTCAGGGGCACATTACCGTCAAGGCAAAATAAGGGAGTGTCTCCCCCCCCTCCAGAAAACATCTACAGAGCAAAGAGTCTCTATGCAACACATATATAATCTACCGCTCGAAAGCAAAAACAAACATTAACTGGAAAATCAACTGAAATGAAACACTAAAACCAAGAATATTTTTCTTTTTAATCAAAGACCAAAATAGCCTGAATTTCATCCGATTACTTCGAGTAGTTATTACTCCCTCAGTAACGTCTGAATCGACCAGCCGTTAATGCCGTCCAGTGACGTCACTAGTCCTTGACCTTTGCTTTAATTCATGCAAAAAGTAAAACACGATTTTCAAGTGGCAAACCGAGAAATATCGTTTGGAAATGTCTACATGATACAGAACTGCTTAATTTTTTTCGATTGTAATTCATGTTTAATGTTCAAACTATCAACTGCATGCAGTACAACCGGTTGTGCAAAATTCTATAATCAAACTCGGTCGCAATAAGGCAATGAAATATACACACACGGAACGCTTAGTTCAAAAACACAATGATTTGCTTTAATTGGAAAGAAGCTATTTGGTCCTTAACAAAGAAAAAAAACAAGGAGACAAGAAAGAAAAGCTAACAGAATCATTACACTTGACAGTAAAAATAGCAAGAAGGTCGAATTATAACATTGATCTCAGAAAAATTCGCGTAAACAAAATCACCGGCTGCCGAAACCACAAAGCGGCTCTGAATGAAAAACCTACCGACTCTCCGCAATGATTCTTCATTTGCAGTTCAATTTAGCATTTCAGTTTCGAAGACAAGGGCAATTTTGCTGTTTAAGATAAAGGTTAAGCTTATCGAAATGTTTGAACTAAACGAAAGAATGCCAGGGATGCGATCTGCTGAATATCAAGCGACAATCCCGCTAAAATTTTTCATAATTATCCATAATTATGCGAATGTTTAGACAATCAACCAATCAAAATCACTACCAGGTTTTCGGGTAGTGAGTGACGTCACTGGACGGCATTAACGGCCGGTCGATTCAGACGTTGTTGAGAGGAGAAAACGACTCGAAGCAATCGGATGAATTTCAGGCTAAGACCAAAAATCAAAGTAAAAGAAAACATGACCAGAATCAAAAAAAGGGAATTTTATAAGTGATACTCCTCAAACATGGTACACATCAAATCAGCAAAATATTTAGAAGATATTTTGTTTTTGGTTTATTCATTTTTTCTTGACTTCAGTAGTGGCTCTTTCAGCTATATTTCAGACAAAAAGGTTAGCAAGTATTCGTATATATTTAAATAGTTGCCCAAGCCTCACCACGCGTTCCTCCCCCGTGAATGTCTGGTCAACGAGATGTCCCCTGTTAGTTTGAACAAGGGGGACTTACCTTCTGAATTACTCTTTGTGGATATAACTACAGATGATAACAAGAAATTAATGTTTGGGACATTTTACAGGCCACCTAATATTGATTTTAAGCCTTTACAACCACAGATCTTCTTATTGTTGGCGACTTTAACCTAAGCGGGTTCGATCGGACTACGAACCAACCTACAAAATCATCTGCGCATCACACTCTTCTATCCGATATAATTCATGACAATTTCTTGTATCAACTGGTTGATGACATAACTCGCGAACATAATATATTGGACCTTGTACTGACGACAAATAAATAATAATTATAATAGTAACAATAATAATAATAATAATAATAATAATAATTATTATTATTATTATTATTATTATTATTATATATTAGTCAATATATCTGACATTGACATTAAATCGGAAAGTGCGCAAGCCAGAATTTAAGTAGTAACTTTTTATCAGTTTGAATTATTTTTAGATAGTTTTATTTTTTTATTAACTTTTTGATGCTTTTTATAATTGTTATCAGTAGTTTTAAGATAGTCATTTTACGACAATTCTCTTTCGTACACAAGAAGAATGTACATAGGGTATATATTTTAAAACTCATATTCTTGAATCTGTACATAGTCTATTTTTTTGAATCTATGAATAAAGTTATTTTATATAATTATTATTATTATTATTATTATTATTATTATTATTATATAGCACGGTATCCACTAATTGCTCAAAGCGCTGTACAATAATATGGTAAGAAACTAGAGTTAAAGACTATTATAAGATAAAATAAAAATTAAATAAAGCTTCTAAAATAAAACATCGTAGGCTAATTTAAATAAGTATGTCTTCAATCTTCGTCCTGAACTGGTCGACAGATGTAACACCACTGAGTTCAGGCCTGGGGGGCAATTGGTTCCGTAACCTAGGAGCAGCTGCGGAAAAAGCCCTATCACCATATTCAGGGCGGAAAAACGTAATGAGCATGCGTGAACTTTTTTGCCCAGATCCCCTGGCCGGGCTTGAAAAAATGGCGGGATTTCAAATATTTTATTGCCCAAAAATAAAATGTTTCCACTCATAACCTGGAAAGAACAGGCAATTTGTCTTCAAAAGTTGCAAGCCGTGGTTATAACCTTGTAGTTACTTAATTTTCTCGAAGAATACCTCATAGTAAAACGGACTTTAACGACATTTATTTCCTTGCGTTGTACTTTAAATGTGCAGGCGTAGGTCGGATTTTTTTCAAGATGCATTCACAAAATGTGTTCATATAAGGAAGTTCCTGGATATATAAGGTCCGGAGCTCCACTTGCCCACAATGTGTTTGAAGTCACTGAACTTTGTCGCACTCGAGCTGATGTTTTAAAACCCTCGCTCGATCGGACACTCTTAGTTTCGCAGATCACTAAAATATAAACAAAATCCTCAATGTAGAAGTTATTGCGTTGATATGTGGGCAGAAATAAGGTTAATCTTCATCTAGTAAAATCTTCCCAAAAATCGGTTTCAAAGTAACTATAGTTTTTTAAACTTGCTCCTTTCGCGCAGATATATAAATTTTGCTTTGTGTTGTCAAGTTGAACACGTATAACATCTGTCAAAAACCTACGCGTAAGTAGGATTTCCTTCAAACAAAGTTAAAGTTACATTATTTCAAAAACTTCTTGCTGGCAATGAAGAAATGAATTTTCTGTACGAAAACAACCTACCTAAAGACCTTAAAAGCAAAAGATCAGTTGCAACTTGGCAGCCAAGCCATGATTCACCATTAAGCTATTTTAAGCTTAACTGGTCCATGCGAGGGTCTTCGTTTAAGCAAATTAAACTCAGCCGATCATTAGAAAATACAGAAAATTGCAAATAAGGGTTTGTTTTGCTCGCCTCGGTCAAATCCAGCTGAAGCCGTTGTTTACGGGAAAACAGTCAATTGTTTTGAAGTCACTACCGGCAGTTGTCGTTCTCTACTTCACAGCGAGTGAAAAGGACAATTTGCGTACAGAAAGTTATTCTTATAAAGAACAGAAACTTTTACAGTGCACTAGAAAACAAAACAATGTAATAAAACATGAAAAAAACTCTGACTACCATTACTTGAGCAACAGAAAAATGATCCTGAGTAAGCTTGCTGGCCTTCTATTTCCGAGAAAGTTTAATAAGCGCACAAGTTTGTTCACTCTCATGCCTTATAACAGCAATATGGTTCTTTGACTGACGACAAAGATAAAGCTGGTTCTGCAAAGGTAATAAATCTGGGCGTGTAAAAAAAGTAACTGTAACTACTCATAACAGAATACAAGCGGGTTTTAATTCAACCCGGATAAATCAACTCATAAATCAATCGGATGCACAATTAGAAAAAATACTCGCCTCTTTAAAAATGTTCAAAACCTTTTATTCCACCTCAGAGTGACAGAATGGTCCATTTTTCCTTGAACATTGGTTGTTCTGAATCCAAAGTAATTTTCAAGCGACGAAAAAAAGCGAACATGTCAAATAAAAATGCTTTACAGGGAGCAAACGTTCGCACCTCGTGCATTTCACTCAGAACTCCAGCAACAAACAAACACAGTCAACACACAGAAAAGCCCGCCTTGAGCCTGCGGTAAGGGTGCGCAGAAGCTTGCGCAGAACGTTTTTCCGCCCTGAAATCATCATACGTCTTTAACCTAGTCCCAGGGAAGGCTAGAAAATTCTGGGAACTAGAACGAAGTAATCGTGGACCATTAGTGTAGCGTAAAAGTTCGGATAGGTAAGTTGGTGCCAAGACATTTAGACATGTNCAGAAAGTTATTCTTATAAAGAACAGAAACTTTTACAGTGCACTAGAAAACAAAACAATGTAATAAAACATGAAAAAAACTCTGACTACCATTACTTGAGCAACAGAAAAATGATCCTGAGTAAGCTTGCTGGCCTTCTATTTCCGAGAAAGTTTAATAAGCGCACAAGTTTGTTCACTCTCATGCCTTATAACAGCAATATGGTTCTTTGACTGACGACAAAGATAAAGCTGGTTCTGCAAAGGTAATAAATCTGGGCGTGTAAAAAAAGTAACTGTAACTACTCATAACAGAATACAAGCGGGTTTTAATTCAACCCGGATAAATCAACTCATAAATCAATCGGATGCACAATTAGAAAAAATACTCGCCTCTTTAAAAATGTTCAAAACCTTTTATTCCACCTCAGAGTGACAGAATGGTCCATTTTTCCTTGAACATTGGTTGTTCTGAATCCAAAGTAATTTTCAAGCGACGAAAAAAAGCGAACATGTCAAATAAAAATGCTTTACAGGGAGCAAACGTTCGCACCTCGTGCATTTCACTCAGAACTCCAGCAACAAACAAACACAGTCAACACACAGAAAAGCCCGCCTTGAGCCTGCGGTAAGGGTGCGCAGAAGCTTGCGCAGAACGTTTTTCCGCCCTGAAATCATCATACGTCTTTAACCTAGTCCCAGGGAAGGCTAGAAAATTCTGGGAACTAGAACGAAGTAATCGTGGACCATTAGTGTAGCGTAAAAGTTCGGATAGGTAAGTTGGTGCCAAGACATTTAGACATGTGTAAACTAAGAGTAAAATTTTAAAATGTATGCGATAATTTAGTGGTAACCAATGAAGTTTGAACAGGATAGGAGTGATATGGTCAAACCGCTTAGATAATGTAACAATGCGTGCAGCAGTGTTTTGTATCAGTCTTAGCCTGTTTAACAGGTGTTTAGGAAGACTATATAACAAAGAGTTACAGTTATCAAGTTTAGGGCTAATAAACGCATGTACTAAAATCCTGATCTTAGCTATGTGCCTTAAATGATACGGACAGGAAACGCAGATTTTGTTAACATGGTCGGTTAAATCAAGACACTATAATCACCCCCAGTTTTCGGGCGGAAGGTTTGGGTGGACCTTCTCATCAACCACTTAGCTGATGTATAACAACCTTCAGAGCATCGGGCACAACATCAGTCGATAAGGACAGATTCATGATGCTCATAATAGCAGGAAGTGATACGGTAAGACAGCCTTGGAAGTCGGCGAACCGTTCTCTGATCATAATTCTACAACATTTACAGTGAACACTTGCACTTATCAACAACGGATTTCAAAGAAAGAAAACTACGCATTTATTAAAGCGGACTGAAATCATCTCAGATCTCTGTTCAGATATTCACCCTGGTTCTACATTCTGGAGAAAGAGGACACAAATGCTAACTGGGAAACATAGAAAGACCTCTACTTCGCGGGGGTTAACGAAAGTATACCCAAGTACCGTCACAAAAGGAAAAACATCTCTCCTTGGATTACAAAAAATTTAATTAACTGGTGCAGAAAAAAGAAACGACTTTATAAAAGCGCTAAAAAATCTAATCGCGAGGATCACTGGGTCATCTACCGTACTTTGAACAACAATTTAAAAATAAATGCAACTCTGCCAAATGGAGTCATTTTAAGGACCTAGCTAATAAACTAACAACAGAGAATAACTCCAAGCCTTTTTGGAACTATATCAAGTCATTGCGAATAGGTACTTAATGACCTAGTGTTCTTAAAAGAAAGAGGTGCAGAAATAACAAGTGACCAAGAGATTGCGCAACACGTGAACGCATATTTCTCATCAGTGTTTACAAATGAACAAATGACTCTTCCGGTTTTTGATTATGTTCTGGACCAAAAGTTATGTAATGTGTCATGTACACCTAGCGAAGTGGAAAATCACTTAAAAAACCTGAACTTCCACACGTCTCCTGGTCCTGACCATTTATCGCCTCGTATCTTAAAAGAATGTGCACTGAAACTATCTACATCGCTTTGTAATCTATTCAACAAGTCGTTCCACTCCGGTTCGCTACCCAGCGACTTGAAAACTCCACATATTATTCCAGTGCATAAAAAGGGACCAAAACATAAAAAGGAAAACTATCGTCAGATCTCGCCGACATCCATCATTTGCAAAACAGCTGAGAAAATTGTAAACTCAAGAGTGCGTCTCTTTTTGGACTGACCATCAATTACTAAACCCTTATCAATTTGGATATTTGAAAGGCAGATCGACAGTGTCGCAACTTTTAAGCTTTACAACGACTGATGTTATATTTCTGGACCTTTCAAAAGCGTTCGACAGTGTCCCCCATGAGCGCCTGCTTTTAAAGCTCAATAGGTACGGTATAGACGGGCAACTGTACCTCTGGTACAGGAATTTTTTAACCAACAGAAAACAAAGAGTACAGATACGTGGATCGTATTCCGAATGGTCGCCCGTTATATCTGGTGTCCCTCAAGGCTCAATCCTGGGTCCGATTATGTTC